GCACCTAACAACAACAACCAACTGTGAGAAAATAAATTTCTGTTTGTTAAAGCCACCCACTTGTGGTATTTCTGTGAAAGCAGCACTAGAGAACCAAGACAGCTAGGTACCTGGAAGGAATGCAATTGGAAAATTAGTGACAAGGCAGTCTGGGCAGCAGGTATACGAACAGACCTTTCTGAATGGACACAGATATTAGGGTCCCGTGTGACTTCTCACCAAAGAGCAACTTCAGCAAAGTAGGATCTCAGCATCAGATGGGCAACATGACCCCGTCTACATAGGCCAGTCAGCCTCTTTTCCAACTATCCCAGTCTGTCTAATGAGTTCATAAACAAAGTGGCAACAGGAGCAGAGAAAAAGGGAGGTTACGTATGGGCTCAGCAACATGGGACTTTCACTCACCATGGCTCATCTGGCCATAGCCATTGCCGAATGCCTACCTGCTGGAGGGAGGGAGGGAAGAAGGAAGGAAGAGAAAAAGAAACACTAAGCCTCCAACATAGAGCATGTTTCTGGGGAGATTAACCAGCCAGGTTAATTATATTGATATATTGGACCAGACCACTTTAATGATGGAGGGGACGGCACTTTGGTCTCACCAGAAGAAATACTTGGTCTGAATATAGATTTGTCTTCCTTGGCCAAAATGCTTCTGCCAAAACTACCATCCAAGGACTGACAGAATGCCTTACACCAACATGGTATTCCACACCATATTGCTTCTAACCAAAGCATTCACTTTACAGTAAGTGAATTCAATAATAAACTCAGAGTTCCCATGATGCTGGTGACATAGTGCCTAAGGCATTTGACTGCTAACCAGAAGGCTGGCAGTTCAAACCCACCAGCCACCCCTCATAAGGAAGATTGGGCAGTCGACTTCCATAATGATATTGCCTCAGAAACCCAAGGAGGAGTTGTTATGAGTTGGATCCAACTCAACGGGAGTGAGTTTGGTTTTTTTGGTTTGGTTACAACAGCGGAATGACCTTCTGAAGGCTCAGTTACAGTAGGTGCCAACTCAGTAGCAACACTTTACAGAGCTAGGTTAGGGGGCATGGATTCTAAATCAGCACCCAGTTTCCTCCTACTCCAGAATTCACAGGTCCAGGGACCAAGGTTGAAACGAAAGTGGCTCCTCTTCCCATTATCCCTAATAACAGGCCAGCAGCTTCCCTTCTCAGCAACTCTGAGCTCCACGGGTCTAAAGATCTTGGCTTCCAGGGGTAGGAATGCTCACACTTCCAGGAGGAGACATAGCAATATTTTCACTAAACTTGAAACTGAGACTGCCATTTTGGGCTCCTCATGGCAAGAGGCGGTGGAAAAGCTAAATATCTTCAGCCAAAACCAGGCCAGGAGCTGATTGTGGAACAGACCATCAACTGCTCATA